CTTAAACATGCTTGTTTCAATAATTTTACTGTTGTTTTTATAAATGTTTATGTCCCTAGAGAGGAAAATTCTTTTGAAAAAAATGTATGAGAAATTAAATGGTTATGGTCAGCTGATTGTTTATTTTTATTAGGTTTTATTGTACTGAAAACAAGTTTTTAGACTGGAGTCATGCAAAGCATCATCCAATTTCCCAGCAGATTCTGAAGCAGCTGGTCCACTCCCACGGCCTGGTGAACATGTGAAGGATGCTTAGAGAGAACAGGATCTCTGTAGCCCGCCTCAACTGTTTTGAGCACCATTTTAGTGTTTAAAATGTGTAGGATTTTACCTGTCGGTTTTTTATGTAGTATTTGTATTTGAAAGATTGTACCCAAAAGCACCTACTGGCATTAGTTTAATGGAATGGGGGAGGCAGTAGCACAGTCCATAGCGACTTGGCTTGGGAACCGGATTGTGGCCGGTTCAAGTTTAATTGGACAGAAGTTGGAGAGGTGCTAGTTCACCTCCTGGGCACTGGCAAGGTGCCTTGCTCCCCATGCGCCTTCATGGCTGCCCACTGTTCTGTGTGTGGTCTACAGTTTTTCACAAAAAAAACTGTAATACAAAACCATACCATCGCCTCAAAATAGTTTTACATATGCTCAAAACCGAACAATGTTGTCAGATCTTGCACAAAAACGAAAAACTGCTGCACCAAACACTACACCAAAAAATTGAAAACACAGTGGTCAAGGCATGTTGCTCATGGAGAAATGTTTATTGGTCACAATAAAGTACTTTACACAGTTGATCATTGAGCTTCATTTAGCGTCATCCTGTCTTTGGGCTCTGTCAGGCCACAGCTCTTCATCCACAACACACACTATATTTGCCCTTGCCAGGCAACAGGGGGAAAAAGCCTAGTGTGCCGTACCCAGCCCTGACACATCTCCTCACAAATGTCATCACAGGCTAGTTCCATGGACTCTAGAAGATTACAGTAAGCCTGCTGTCACTCGTACACCTTCCATCTCCAAGTGGAGGAAAACTGTAATGATATTCTGATTCATATTGAACCATTCTCTGACTTGGACAGCACGGTGAAAACTAACATTGTCCCAAATTATAACATAAATAGGCCGCTTCATCATCTCATGTTCCTGCTGTTCATTTGCAGACAACACATCTCTAAGACCACCAAGAAAGGTGAGAAGGTGCTGGGTGTTACAGTATATGGCCCCACAGTGGCATGATGGTGAAGAACACCCTGGTTGCTTATACCAGCGCACAGTGTTATATTACCGTACCACCATCAGAAATTGCCACTCTTCGTCTTTCTCTCCCTCCTCTGCCTCTTTCGTGTCCTCCACCTCTACCTCCTCTTACACACACGTGTCCTCTGTGTCTCTGATCCATTGTTGTCATGAGCTTGCAGGACCAACCTGCTTGAACTCTAAACTGGCTTATATAGATTGTCATGTTGTCATGACATGAAGAGAAACAAGTGTGACCAATTTTGAATCCTTGTGTTCAATGGATGACACATGTGTTTCATTTGTGTTCATATTTTGCCACTGGTTTTTACCATTATGCATCACAAGTGCATCACAGGGACAACTGTGTTTTATTGCATGAGAATGTGTTTAGAGTTTTTGCAAAAGGAAAGACTGAGATCTGCAAATAATGTTTTACTAGGTGAAGATAGTTTATGGTTTTGTCAAAATGATGCTCAATTCAGTGAATGAGTTTAGACAACTGAGCAATTGATTCACACAACAGGAATTAGTGTTTTAGCAATTCAGAAAAACTGTAATACAGACCATTTAGCATTTTAGCTGCTGACCAAAGTTTTAGAGAGGCTTTTAGTTAATTATGGACTGGAGATTGAGGTTATGGAATAAGACAGTGTGAGCAAGTCCACAGAATATCAAAGATATATTTAAATCCTCAAAACTAAAAGGATGGCGTCAGCCAACATGCTGGACACTAAAGTACAAGGTGCGCTTGTCTGGTCCCGAATCCAAAACATTGTAGAGATGGGTGCTCACTCTAGCTTCTTATTTTGCTTGGAGAGGAAACATGGGCAGAGGAAGTTCTTCCACTCTCTGCTGTTGGACACTTGGCAGGAGCTGACTGAACCTGCCCAGATCAGAAGGAGAGCTGTAAAAGTGAGTATAAAGAAAATGAGAAGCAGTTGGAGGAGTTCTGCAGTGGACTACTTCAGATCTCTGATGAAACCAACTCCCAGCTAGACTGCCCCCTGATGCTTCACAAGTTACTGTACATATTGTCCTACAGAGCATGCAGTGCCAGAAGGCGTCATTGTAGAAATCTACGAGGCCTTTTAGGGCAGCTTAGGCAATGAAAGCCTGGTTTCAGGTTGCGATGAAGTACGGATGTCCTGCCACAGGGTGATAATTACCCTCCTGCCAAAATAAGGCAACCTATAGGACATAGAAAACTGGCACCCTGTGTCTCTCATCTGCACCGATTACAAGATCCTCTCCAAAGCCTAAACTACTTTACTGAGAGAAGCAGGTCATCAATCAGGTCCAGACGCACACTGTGTGCTGTCAGTGATGCTCTATACACACTCCCTCACAAAGTTTGTTTGTGTTCAAGGTTTGTTTGTACCTGCTTTTAATAGCAATGTGGTTTTTATCTGCCTGTGCTGATGATCTTGTTGTTTGTGTATGTGGAGGTGACTCATAGAACCTCTAAGTGAACCAGGGAGAGTTAATTGGCACGACTGAGATTAGTTGGCCAGAGAAACACACGAGGAGGGAGAGACACATGAGGAGGGAGAGTCGAGCTGCCAAACCTTTTCCACAAGGCTCCATCATCAGCAAAAAGCGACTGCCACATATCATTCAGAACTTGAGAGAAAACATCATTAATCATGGAAAACAATATTTGGTTATTGACACTGTGGAAAATGATCACTGCCTTCTGTTGTTTCTTCTGATAAATCCCACTCACATATCCCCTCTATATTCCTTGACACGAAGATTAATTCTAGTGCTGAGGTGTTTGTGTACATCTAACCAAGTCCCTCTGCCATCATTTAGACAAACCATACCTTTTCCTTTGGGCGAGGATGTTGTGAAAGTTGAGGATTACAAGTACCTGGGCGTCCACATAGACAACTGAATGAAATGGAAAACAGGACATCAATACTGTCTACAAGAAAGGAATGAGCTGAATCTATTTCCTGAAGAAGCTGAGATCTTTCAGCATGTGCAGCAAGATGTTGGAAGTATTCTATCAGTGTGTTGTAGCCAGTGTTCTGTATTTTGCTGTGGTCTGCTGGGGGAGCAGCATTGGAGCCGGTGACACCAACAGACTGAACAAGCTGATTAAGAAGGCTGGCTCCATAATTGGCAGCAAACCGGACACTTTGGAAGTGGTGGTGGACAGGAGGGCACTCAATAAGCTGTTATCCATCATGGACCATCAAGACCACCCTCTCCACCACCTGGTGGACAGACAGCGGAGCACTTTCTCCAACAGACTGGTTTAGCTCCGCTGCCACAAGGACAGATACAGGAAGTCTTTCCTGCCCACAGAAATAAGACTGTACAATTCCCACCTCTTAGTACTTAATAGTAATTACTGCTGCAATAACTGTCAAGTATTTATTTATTTTGCTCATATTATATATCATACCCATTTGACCACATTTAGTTATATTTATATTTAAACATGTCAAATACTGCAATTTTGCACCTTGTATCTTACTCTCTGTGAATGTTGAACTGCTGCTGTGACACAACAATTTCCCAACTGGGATCAATAAAGTTAATCTATCTATCTATCTATCTATATAT